TACAGCCACTTTGTTCTGGTGTTGGCGACAGTCCTGCTCTGAGTGTTGATCTCATCCTGGCTCGGAGCAAGAAATCCAACTAAATTAATTTAAGAAGTGCTCTTCAACCAGTATTACCAAGATTCTGTGATTTCACAATAGAAATGAGGCTGATTGTGATAAACAATATCAACTTTATCCTCCCTCAGCACCAACAGTACCATTTGGGTTATTAAAAAATTAATTTTAAATTTACAGATATTTACTAGAGGATTCTGTTAGGATTCATTAGACACAGGTTTGTACCTTGTCTCCTTCTTATTTAGAGTTGTATTGACTTTATTACATAAAAATTCATTGCAGGCAGATGCCAAGCCTGACTTCTTTGTGCATGATATGTCTATTGTTAATAAATTAGTTGGAGATACACATCAGAAGACAAATGGTATTGCAAAATCTGGCAATCAAACAGTACTAGTTAATAAACACATGACAAGTTATGAAGAATGATGTATCTAGTCAGACGTATTTATTTGGAAGGTAGTCTTTTAAACCATAATTAAATTCACTTTAGATGAGGATTGTAGCTTCGTGACTGCTCAGGTATTCCGAATACACAAAGCAGTGAGAAACGGTATGAATGGTCACTCTGACAAGAAGACCAGGATGGAAATCTTCAGAAGAAAAGTTTTAGTCTGTTTACATTAGAGTCTTAAGGAAAAAAACCAAGTCTTTCCAGGGCAGGATGGACAGGTTGGATTCTGTGTAGAATAATCAATGTGATAGGGACAGTTGGACCAAGGAATAACGAGGGGCTTTTCTTCCCGTGGGTGGCTGGACTGCTGCAAGCAACCAAAGGTGTAGATAATGCAACAGAGGAATTTTTGGGATGCTGATAAAAGGCTTACCAGCCAAGTTTATTCGTTTGTTCTCCTGGAAAAGAGAGAGCAAATTTCAAGGCACACTAAAGTGACGTCTTTATATCTGAGTATCAAAGATGTGAATGAAAGAGCCCAGGACAAGGCTGACTCATGCTATGTGACCTCCTGAGCATCTGACCACTGTAGGAAGAATAGTGCTGATGTAAATGAAAAGAGAACTTGGTCTTTTCTGTGGGGACCTTTCATTGCTGCCTTTAAAAGTTGGACTAATAATAATCCACAAGTGCATGAAGATATAAAACTTAAAAATATTTATGTCCCTGACTTTCCCAGGTGTTAGGTGAAATTTTCCCAGCCCTGAAATACTCCTCAGAATGCCTGTATGCGGCAAGATGCCCATTTTTGAAGAGGAAAAACTGTGGTGTAGGGACATGGAGCAATTCTCCAGAGTTGATGCAGACAGACCCAAGCACTCTGCCGGTCTGAGCCGTGCCAAGATGAGCAGCTCTGATGCAGAGATCATGTAATGGCAGAGTACTGGTGTGGTACCAGCCCAGCAGACAGTGGCCTATTCACTGAATGTGGCATCAGCCTCAGACATCTATGCCACTTTTAGACTTCAGAAGCCAGTTTGAAACACAGGGAGAGATGCTGGTTACTGACTGTCCCCATCCAGATAGAAATATGACATGCTGAACAGTATGGAAGAACCTCTATTTAGTGTCTGAAATACTAAACTACCTCTCTTCACTCTCCTGTCTGCTATCCTGAAGAGTTTACCAAACACCACAGGCTGTTGGGTGAATGGGATACAGGAAACTCAGCAGCTTAAGTGCTTTTGCTAAGTCTAAGTAAGGACACTGGAATTCTGTCCTAGACAACTTTCCAAAGGGATTGACTTCTCTGCTTCTTTTGCAGAGTGTCAGTGTCTGCATTATCCATTATTCTAGTGAGGATCAAACTCATTGGAATAGTTAAAATTATTAGTCCCATGTGCTGGTTTACTCATATGAACAGTAGCTATAAAACCAGGCCCTGGAAACAAATAATTTTTGCCTTTGGAATTAATTTGCATGCTATAATAGAGGCAGTTCTGATGAATTTTAGTAGAGGCGGGGGCTGAATACATGTGCCTGTTATCAGGGCTTTGCTTTATGTTAAGACAGCCCTGCATTGTGCAGTGCATAATGAATTCCAGAAAACACAGCTTCTTATTGTTGTCAGTTATTGGGGGCTCATTCTCCTAATGAGACATGTAAATATCTTTCATTAATGTTAAGGGTGACTGTGTGCTTGGCCCCTGAGGAGAACAGTGCTCTCTGTCAGCTACAGCAGAAAGATGAAAATTACAACAAAAATGCCATTATAATTATTGCAAAAATTTGCCTTTATGACATCAGTAGCCTTGACAGCTTTTGGTATCATTTGCAGAATTATCCTTCTACCCTTTTGGCCTGTTTACTTCCTTGTTTTGGACTGCTACGATAAACTCTTAAATGTCTTTTTATACCCACAATTTCAAAATGCAGAGGAAGGGACTGATTGCTAAACCCTGTTAAATATAGGCAGAACATGTAAACCTGGGCTTAATGCATAAACATATGCTGTACTTTAGGTCACCCAACTGAAATCAATGGGACTTCTCAAACTGTTAAGCAGTTCAGTACTTGTTTTACCTGACCTTTTGATCAGGGATTGGAGAGGTGGGTACTGTACAGTATTGAACTTTGAGTACAGTAATCCACTGGACAGGCTGGTAAGGGGTTCTTAAAGAAACTCATTGAGAACTCTCAGAGCAAACATCCACAGAGATTTGCCTTGAAAAATACATACATTAAAAGCCCAGACACCTGCTGGCCCCATCAGTCCACATGCTTGAGGATCCTCTCCATCACTGCAGCTGACAGTTTGCTGACAGAGAACAGTGATGTCCCTACTGATCTGCCTAAACCTCCAGAGCAGAGGACCATATGCAAGCTGCCTGCTGGCAATGGTGACAGCCTGTGCTGACCCCTGCCAGCCCCATAAATCATCTGAGAGAGTCCCCGTGGAGCAGAGCCAAACCTGTGCCAGGGCCTGCACCTGAAAACGAGCACTACAGATCATTGATTTGAACACCTGCACATGGGCCCTGGCCCTGGTACACTCCTGGGGATGGGCACAGCCCATGTGCTGGGCAGGGCTGATCTGAATCTTCCTGGCACTAGCAGTGACCTCAAGTGCTGTGGGTTCACGCCGTTCTCAGCAAAAAATTAGATGGTGCTTGCACAGGCTGCCCTAAGCTTTCCTCTCCAGAACAGCAATGACCTGACCATGCAGGGGTCTCATTGGGATGGTCTAATTTTAGGGAAGACTACTGAAGAGGCTAAGGATCAGTTCTGCGATTATTTCATAGGACAAATTCTTTTCTCCCTATTTCATGTGAAGTTCTATTCATGTAACAAGCTGATTTTGATAGTTTGAGTCAGAAAAAAATTAGCATTTCATGCAAAATCAGCCCTGTGATTACAAATCAACCCACCATCCCTTAAATGTGCATGAGGTTCTAAAGTTACATGTGTGTTTACATACACATGTCCACACATGTATAATATGTGCATGTTTAAAATACATAATATATAACATAAAGTGGATAATACACCCAACTCTCATCTCACCTAGTTGACCTTTCGAAAGACTGGAAGGGAGAATTTCCAGAGACACTCATATAGCGTGTGAAATCTGTGCCCCACAGAGTCAGATTTTCCAAACTATTTCAGTGCCTAAAGATGCTGACAGACACCTACTGTGATTCCACAAAAGTATCTAGGCAGAGTGTACGGTGAATTCATCTCAAGTCCACCAAGAATCAGAAAGCACCAAAGAAAACCAGTTGTGAAGATTTCTCTAAATACCGACAGCAGAATCACCTAGATGCTTTTCAGAATTTAACCCAGAATAATTAAGTGGAATATTTATAATGGAATTTTAAATCTTAAAAAAACCCGACATTTGAAAAATAGTTTGGAGAGTGGACAAAGACAGTCACAAACCATATATAGTCACAGTATGCAGCAATGAATAGTGTCCTATATATAAAATGGAGGTAAGAGAAACACAGACTATAAAATAAAAGCAAGAAAAACATTTCACTGGGCTTATTTGAGGGAAACAGTGTGCACGTAAAAATGGCTGTTAACCTTTAAAGCTGGTATCCGATCCCAACTAGGTTATGATAAAATACGAGGGCACATCATACTTTTTTATTGAGTTCTGTTTTTACTTAATTTTCTGCAACTGAGCAAGATTAGATGGTTTGAAGTTGCCAGTGCTGGATCCAAGGCAGAACAGTCCCCAGTTCTGCTCTGCCCTACAGTAACAGTTCCTAAACAGAGTGGATTAACAGCATGTTCAGTGACTGTTGGAAAACAAGCAATATTATTTACAATCGTAACGAGGCTCAGTAAACATCCAGCTAAATAGAAGAAGGAAATAATTCCCACTTAACCAGAACACTTAGCACAATGGGGTGCACAGACTGACTTCTAATTTTCTTTGTATTTAGCAAATCAGGGAAATGCAAACTTGAGGAAACAAACTCTGAGCGTGGATCTCATCATTACAGCCTTTCCAAAGCTAACTCCGAAGACTAGACATGTTACACGTGGCAGCTGAATTTATTTTAAAATGCAAGACTTGCCTCCTACCAGCCATTAGTCTGATGCCCTGAAGAAAATAATGAGACTGAAGATCTGTGGATGACTTTTTTCACAGATGCAATCAGGGCACACTTGTGACCTTCTCATTACGCCTCTCCAGGTCATCCCTGTTCCCATGAGAACTGCCAGGCACAGGCTCATGCAGCTCTTACACACATTGGTAATAACAGCCCATATAAATTCCTAAATCAAAACTAGATCCTTTCTATAAAACAGCAAAGCAGTCTTATTCCTCCACGCACACCAAATACCGACTGATCAGAAGCTCTAAATGACCCATTTGATCACTTGGCAATTTTCACTGAATGGTGCTGTAGCAAGGACCAGGAAAGTTAATAAAATCTAAGAGAGGATCATCCTTCCCCCCATTACCACCCTTCCCTTCCTTTAACAAATTTCATCCTTCCCTCCATTACTCTGAGAGAGAAAATGAGGGACATACCCCGTGGCGCTGTTCGTAGTAAGCCAGCTTGGATTTGGTTAAGACAAAGAAGCGCACTTTGAAGTTGGAGGGTGAAGTCCTTCTCTTCTGCTGGGATTTTTTGATCAGCAGTTCCTCCAGGAGCACACAGTTATTCATGGCTGAGCCAAGAATGTTTGTCTCCCAGGACATGAGAAGTCTACCCTGCGTGCCCGTCTAAGAAAGAAACACAAGAAGGAAGACAGTTAATTAAAAAAAAAAAAAAAGTTGTTCAAAAGGCAGCGTAGGTGCTTTGAGCTTTATCTTCCCATCTACAGCAAAGCTTCCTTTCTACCAGACCATAACCACATCCTCTATGAAGTCATAAAAGCAGCACAGTTGAGATATACCCTAGGGTAAATGTTGTGGAAAAAATAACACTTGATGGACATTCAGAAGGTGTGAATCAATGATTAAGGATTAATTAAAGGGGTGTGGCATGATTAAGCATCTGTCTCCTACTTGCTTATCTAGTAAATGCAGTTATAAATGCACACACCAAACACGTATGTATGGGATGAGTGTCCTCACTGTCCTCTTAGAAGTAGGTCATGCATCCATATTTATTTTGTGAAGGAATGATACCGTCCCATTTGCAGTATTTAACAGTTGCCTGTGAGCCACAGAGATTTCATACAATGGATTTTGAGGAAGTTCCCCATATGATGATTTAGCTGACAAGGTGGTCTTTGGTCAAAGGTTGGGCTTGATGATCTTGGAGGTGCTTTCCAACCTTAATATTTCTATGATTCTGTGATAACATGAAAGTTCCTACTATGCAAGCAAAGAAATTATATCCAAGGAGGTACTCAGAATCATAGAATCATAGAATATGCTTGTATAAGCAATAACTTGTATAAGGAATAACTTTGTAAGGAATGTTAAATATATAACAGATATTTAAACTGAAGACAAACAGGTATAATAACTGATAACTGATTAATTATCATTGATTACTCTTTACTGATTACTGACTGCTTCAAGTGCAGTCTGATGAGGCTGTGGCTGGATGCTGCAGGAGGGAGAGGCACAACGTGCCCTCTGAGGATGGTATCAAGGCCATGTCATCAGCAGTGAAGTGAGCTCAAACATCCAACCAAATCCAACTAGTTTCCTCAGGCCTCCAGGGCACCACTCAGGGCAGTTTGCACCAGGCTAAATATAAAATTATAATAAAATTAGTATGCATCTAATGCAGTCAGTACAACAGCACTGTTCTATTTTAAAGCAAATGCAATCCATTTTTCTCTTCTCTTTCATTCTTAGTATTTTGTATATTTTTTATTATTGATGTATAATTGCGTTGCTGATGGTATTGAGGCTTGGAGTCTGGTGGAATGTGCAGAAACTGCAAAGTAAGTATTTTTATTATTTTTTATTAATTTGGTATTTCTGAAAATTGTTCCAGTGTAAATAATTTACCAGTGCTGAGTTTTGGCTCTATTTTGATGTAGTACCGGAATATAAGGAGGCAGCTCCCTATTGCTGCTTTTTATAGCTGTTTGCAAGTTCAGAAGAAAATATTTCATTATTTTAAACAGAGCTTATGAGGAAAAAAATTCTGAACAAATATCAGAATTGCAAAAAACCCCAAAGACTTAGATTTTATATCACAGTTCATAGACAGACTTGGAAACAATATTCTCAATAGAATATATTGTTTATTTCTCAAAAAAAAAGAAGTGGCATATCCCTTCCTTTCTGTTTCATGATATGTTATTTAGGCAGTATGTTCCAGGGATCATCAAACTTTCCTTACCAATTTTGTTCAATGTTAACTAAGAAACTCCATTTTCCATAAAAATACAATTTAAATAAAGCACTCGATGTACAGATTTGTAAGAGAATTTGCTTAAGACAATGCAGTACCATGGGACAGAAACAAGGACAAACAGAAGCTGTTGTGCAGCTGATGCCTACATAAATATAGATAGTCTTGGTAGTCTTGCTGAAGATAAAATGCAGTGTATACTGAAACATTTGTCATGCAGAATTCTGTTAAAGCGAGGCTTTGTTTCTCGGCAGAGTGACTGAGTACCAAGGAACTCTTGTGGTGAGATGACACAAGTCTGTGATCTCCTGAAAAACCGTCACTGGTGTCAAGGGGAATTTCATACCTATTTGTAGACTAGGATCAATGCCCAGGCCAAATTTCCCAATTCTTCTACAAACCCATTTGCCTCATGCAGTACACATGTATGAAAAATGGAGAGATTGATGAGAGTTTTCAAAATTTAGCCCTGTGTTAGCAGTAGCTGGATAAATTCCAGACCTTGAACCTCCAAAATGTAGGACCACTTTTGCGTGCGCATAACTTTCCTTATGCTTGAGAATTTGCTGATTTTAATTATGCTCAGAGATCCTTTCTTGTAATTAATAAACCAAAACATGCACAGGGACAAACTGCATGGATTCACTGTGCAACAATGAATTTTCCCCCAAAAAGGCTGTTGATCTTGATCAACAAGCATTTTACTTGATTTGTGTCAATACAGATGCATTTATAATGACAGTTTGTAATGGCATTGAATTTTTAGCTAATAACACTTATTTAGGACTATGTTATTTTTTCTAGTCTCTTCTTCACACTTACTGTAGTGTGTTAAGGACTTTATGAAAAGTCTTTGTAGCTTGGCCAAGGGGGGTTGCAGTCTGCTGGCAGAGATGCACATGTTGTCTTATCAGAAAATTGAGTATAAATAGAAATACAAGGGTATGACATTGCAGCTCTGCAGAAAAAGCGAGGAGTACAGGACAGCAGAGAGGTGAGACATCAGCGCTCTGAGGGGAGCGAGGCTGCTGGAGATGGGAGGATGTGGGGGGAGAAAAGGTTCAGCAAGGGTGGTGAGTAGTGGGGGGAGAGCTAAGAAATTCTTTGAACATAGTGACTGGCAGCTCGATTTCTTCATGAGATAAGAGATGAGTTCTCAGAGGGGCATGAAGAGGGGAGCGATTTGATCAAATACACAGATAAGGGGCTTGGCAACTTCGCCTCATTTGGCGTAAACATGGTGCGATGCACCACAGGAGGTCTGACGGGAAGGTGCTGCGAGGGGCAAGGTAAAAGAGAGAGAAACAAGGAGCAACTGAGAGAGAAACAAGGAGCAACTGAGAATACAGATACAGACGTAAGAAAATAATCCCAGATTTTGGCCCATAGTGATAGAGAATGTCGTAGCTGTGTTAGAACCGGCAGGATTTAGCAGGTTAGATCGGCCATTTGGAGTTTTCCATGTTGAGCTCAAACTGATGGTGGGCCAGCTAAGATATTAAGCAGGGAAAAAAAGTAAAAATGAGCAGGAGGAAGGAAACAAGACAACACAGCCAGATTTGGGTGCCATTGATATAAACATGGGAGCTGATTTCAGTGGGAGCTGCTAATTAGCTCTGTTTTGCAATATCTCTATCAGCTGATAACTCTTCATTGTTGAGCTGGGAAGGAAGATAGAGGCTGACATATTTTTGTATCCAATCTTGCTACGGATCTACTCCTTCATTTTTCTTTTTTCACTTTAAATCCAAGCCCCACGTGTAGCAAACACAGAAATAGTTGAGTGTTACAAGCCAAAACCAGAATATGAATGCTACGTTTAAAGAATGTATAGCCAGGTTGACACGTATAAACTAAAATCATATGGTCTAAGAACTGTATTTGTATTTAATTATACATTTAGGAGAGAGTAACCTGATTATGTATATTTGAATTTAATTTCAAAGATCATGGTTTCCTGACTAATTTTTAAATAAAATTGTTTTAAATAAATTGTTTTTTTCAAACCTTGAACTGTAGACAAAAGTCATTTTTCATTATCCATCTGGGTGACTAACAGGTTATAACCCTTTTAAAGAAAGCCTCAGACATTTAAGGGGTTCAGGACCTTTCTATAGTAGAGTAGGATGTAGGTATATATGTCTATATTTATTTAAGTAGAAATACACCACTTGTCTAGGACCAAGTGGGCTGCAGAGCTGGAATATGTGAGGATATCTGCAGAGCTCTACACACAAAGTACAAAGTCTTCCTCAAAGGGCTCTCCTCAGGAGAGCTGGAATATCCCATTAACACAAGTATTTCATTTCTGGAAGCTGACACTGTATTATGGTACAGTTTTACACCAAATATATGAGCACGCTCTTTGAATACTTCTGGCACCACTATATATTTGCATGGTACAGAAATTCTGTATCCTTAATAGAAAATACTTAAATATAACTGTCCTAAATATCTTAGAACCACTGTAAGACTATCCTTCAAGGGATGATGAATTTTTTAGGTATCCTACATATTCTCTGCTTAAGTGCTTTTATAAAGCCTGCTACCATGTATCCTTTGACACTTTTTCATCCATATTCAGGAAAATCTGAAATACTTTAAATCATTCAGATTTAAGTTTGAGCTGCTGTGTGCTCTAAATACTCCTCTGTGTTGGGTAAGTTGAGGTTACAGATAAAGTTATTCTTATCAACTGTGGCCTCAGCGGACTCCTTTTTTTTCTTTTAATCACCTTTGTTCATTCCTTGCTACCTCCTGCTCTATTTCTGCTTTAAAAAATGTTATTTTAGGGATTGGATTTTTTCGTAGGGGATTTACCCAGATTATGCAGTTCACACTTTGATTACTGCCGACTGCGAAAATCTCCCCACCCGCACATCCTGCTCTGATACCAATGCTTATGTCCTGAAGGCGGCAGAGAAATGTATCAAGTTAAATATAGATTATTTTTGTTTTTGTAAAAAAAAAAAACAGTCCGCAAGGCTGCAACTCTCTCTTCACTCTCATAAATTGACCTATATACTTCTATCATGTGCAATATTTAGGTAAGGTTTACTGCCTGGGTGCCAGCTCTTCCTTTACACCAGCTGCTCAGTATGATGATTATTACTCCACTTCTAAACTTCCATAATTCAACCCATTTTGCTACTTATCTTAGAGCATGAGAAACTCTTATTTAGGTTACTCAGCTGTCTTGCTTCTTTGGCAGTTCATTATCACCCCAATAAACATGTCTCCAGTAGACCCAAAGAACAAGACAGAAAGCTGCAGAAAAAAGGAAGAATTAGCCTGGTCTTTCTGAGCCAGATGCATCCAGCTTTCCCCTAGGTCTCACAATTGCACCTTTGAATCTGCTCACACTGCTGGTCCCAGTGACCAA